CCACAGCCTCCATCCTCCCCACAGCCTCCATCCTCCCCACAGCCTCCATCCTCCCCACAGCCTCCATCCTCCCCACAGCCTCCATCCTCCACCACAGACCATTGCTGTGGTCCCTCAGCCCTCAAGCCCGCCCTGGTCTCTGGTGGAGTGGCTCTTCGCCTGCTGCTGAGTCATCCCTGAGAGCTCGGTGGACTGTAGGCGCTGGTGTCAACGCAGAAGAGGTTCAAACGCTTGCTGGCGCATGGTGTCCCGTCCACTGCCTGGGGCCTGTGCGCGCTCCGCGTCTGGGGCGGCCCCTCGCCCCTCCTTGGCATTTCTCGTGGCCCAGGCTTCCCTGCCCACCGGCTGCCCGGGGCCCGCTGGGAGCCTCATGCTGCCCCTGCCCAGGACCTCGGTCTGAGATGATGCCCTGAGTCCCGTCCCGCCGGAGGCTGGGGCCAGCGAAGGACAAGTTAGCCCTGGCCATCAGAGGCGGGGTCTGCAGAGGGGCGGCGATGGGGGCAGGGCTGGGGTCAACACGCTTCCCGTGGAACCTGCGGCCTCCATGGAGCCGAGCCGTCTTGGCTGGGCTCGGAGAAGTCCAAGTTGCAGACCAGCCTTCCCCTTCCTGACAGTGCCCCAAGGGGGTGGAGGGCTGCGAGTTTTCTCTGTCAGCTGCTGTTTGATGTGGGCACGGCGAGGCCCCGTTTAAATGGCCGAGCAGTGGGCTGATGAGGGAGGTGCAGCACCCGAGCCTCCTGCCCCGGGGCGTCCCTGGCTTACTCTGGGGGGGTGCACAGACGGGGTCAGAGGTCACTGTCCCGCCACAGCAAGGCAGCAGGGGGGGGCACCACCCGCACGGCCGGCCAGCCGGCGGCGCACAGAAGACGGCCACTCTGTGCCGGCACAGGGCATGTCTCCGGCTGTGCGGCAAGCCCCGCGCCCACGTCCCAGTGTCATGGAAAGTGCCGGTAGCTAGGGAGCTGCTGCATGCACTCCAGGGACAAGTTGAGTCCTGAGCACTGGTCCCCGACCAGCCCGTGAGCACCTGCGCCTTGTTGTTCATTAGTGGCTGTGGAGCCGCGGGACCGGGGGAGCCTGCCTTGCCTCTGGGGTTTTCCACGCCGAAGGCCAGGTCCTGTGTTGGGGATCAACACAGATCTCCATGAAGCAGGCCGCCAGCGGGGGCTGGGCCGGGGCCTCTGCCTTCTGTGTGACAGTTCGGCTCCCGGCCCGCCAGCCGGGCTGCAGGCAGACAGGCTCAGGGTGGCAGGCCGAGCCGCAGCCCCCCCTCCCCCTCCACGGCTCCGGCTCTGTTTGTGGCCAGGCTTTCTTCTGTTATCGGTTCCCATGACACAATTCCTGGTTCCCCGATGCACTTTATTATTGTTATTCTTAACACTGTGTCGGGCGGGTGTTGAAAGGAGCTGGGGAAGGGAGCGGGCAGCGGAGTTCTCGCCCACTGACAGCTCCAGGAAACCGTCCTCAGACCCGGAGGACCTTATCTGGGCGCAGGCCCCGCAGCTGGAGGAGGGCAGCCTGGGCCGCCCATGATGTCAGCGCGGGCCCCACCCCCAGAGTGTCAGGAAAGCGGGACACCGTGACGCCACCCTGCGACATTTCCTATCTGAGCGCTGATCGGGGCTGGCCTCTGCCAGGCTCCCCATTTCCTGCCTATCTGCCAAAAATCACACACACTCTGACACTGAGCCTGACCCTCACGGGGACGGCAACAAAAGGCCCCCAGCCAGGAGGCGCGAGGCCGGCGGCCGGCTGTGGCCGCACACCCTCCCCCCGGAGGCAGCTGTGTCCGTGGCTCATTCCCCAGCGGGAACGTGTCCCTGCGTGGACCTCTGGCCGGCTGTCGAAGGCCCGGGCAGCACTGTGCCAGCCCCGCTGAGTCCCTGCCCGGCAGGCACCACCCCTCGGGGCGGCTGGGCGGGAGCAGGAGGGGGCAGCCAGCCCGTCCTGGGCCACGTTGTCCCAGGCTGGACGTAGCTGATTGGAGGTGCGGCTGCGGTCTTTCCCTGCTCCCTGTGTGGCTTTCCGTGGAGGACGGTTCCATAACCCTCTCTCCTCTCGCTTTCTTGCAGTAAACGAGATCATATGCAACGACCTCTCCAGCACAAGCTCCACCACATAGGTGAGCACGGCGGAGCTGGCGGAGCAGGTGGCGGCGGCTCAGCGCAGACGCCGGGCTCCAGCAGGCAAGACTTTCCATGGAACAGACTGCACCCGCACCCGGTGCCCCCAGAACCTCCACCTTCCCGGATGCTGAGAGCTGGACTTGGCCATCCACGTACGAGGACGAAGCTCCCGAAGGAGGAAGGAGGGGAAGCGGGAGAGCGCATTCCTGAGGACAAGCCATCTCAAGGAAACGGAGGGCCGGCAGGAAGGCCAGGGCCAGGGGCTGGCCTCTGGGGAAGAGCCCCGTGGGCCCCCGATTTCAATACTGGAAGTGCCTTACTCATCCCCCCCCCCATCCAGATGCCGTGGACACAGCATTGGGTTTGCTGCCATGAGAGTATTCGTAGGAACAAAAACTAGAAAAACATTTCATGAGGAGGCTTTAACCTTTGAACAATGACCCGAGTTCTGGCAAGCGAGGGGTTGTGAGACACACCCAGTAGGCTTCCCACTTCTTCCCACTTCCCGGGCTGTCCTACACAACGCACCGCCTTGCCTGGTGCGTTCTGAGGTCTCCTTCAGAGCACTCCCTCCTCCGTGTGAGCAAAACCGTAGGGGTGTGATAGTAGCATGCTGGGATTTCTGTTTTTCAATGTGGCTTTGGGCATAGCACAAGACAGGGACTGGGCAGGAAAGCAAGCTGCCTGGCATCCCTTGCACGTGCATGTGTGTAGATAGGCATGCATTTATGTACCACTAGTAAGTGGCAGAGGCGGTGAGGACCAGGCCGGGCCCGGCCAGTGCTTCTGCAGTAGCAATACTCAGCGTCTGTTTTGGAGAATTTACCCAGGAGTCCACACCCGCTCTCCAGCGCCTCCCGCTGGGAGCAAGGCCCCGCGCAGACAGACAGTACTCGCACATCTCACGCGGCCACAGCCCTTCCGAGCGCCGGAGAGCCGAGCCCAGATGCCCCTGGGTCACCACACGGCAGACCTGGAGAGGAGCTGTAAATAGCCGCCACAAGGAGTGTAATATATTTGTTCAATTATAAGATTATTATTTCACAGAAGCCTTATCGCGCTCTGCTTCATCTAAGAAAACAATTACCAAAAAACGACATGTTCATAGGCAGCCACGCGGTGTTTTCAGATTAGTTACTGTTCACGGATAGGCTAGCGTAGGCTTTCCCGCTGCATCTGTACAATTAGCTGCTCATTACGATTGCTAGCAGTGACCTACTATTTCATGTAACCAAAAAGCATGGTTTAATTAAAACATGTTTAATGACTGTGCCTTAGGAGTTTGCGCCCCCTCATGGAAAACGCCTGAGTGGCACGTGGGGCAGCCCTAAGTCGACAGATGGAGGGGCCTCGGCTCCTCTGCACGGCCGCGTCTGACCCTTAACTCGCAGAAACACAAGTCCAAAAGCCATACGTGAGCACACGCGTGTCGGCACGGAGCTGGCGGCTGCCGCGTGGCGCCGAGAGACGGCCGGCCTTCGCGCAGAGCTCCCGTGCCAAGTCTCCGCGTGCATGCTGCCTGCGGACGCGGGCGTTCAGTGTGTGTGTCCGCTATCTTTGTAGTTAGAAAATGGATCCAATAAAGCAGTATTTTTTTTGCTGGATCGTCTGAGCGCGACTCGTTACCCAGTGGGAAGTTCTGCTTTGCTCTCCAGCACCCGCATGCAGGCCAGGCTGGCCATCCACGGCTGTCTGCCCACAGGAAAGCCGCGTCTCCCTCAGAGCAGCTGGGGTCTTCCTGGTGCATGGAGAGGTCCGTGGGAACAGGGCCAGGCACTCGGCGAGGCCCCCGCGGGGCTCTCCAGCCCAGGTGGGGAAGGAACGCTCCTTTATGCCAAATTCTTCGGCTCTCCCAGAGACAGGCTGGGTGCAGCCCTGGCCACCCACCCTGCCGGGTGCCGTTGTGAGAGCATGCCCGTTCACCCGTGCCGGGCTGCTGCGCCCGCCGCGCCCCCTGCCTCCTCCCTCCCCATCCACACCCCTCCTGCAAGCGTGGGTGGGAAGCAGTACGGAACCACCCGAGACCAGGGCCAAACCTCCGCCTCCACAGTCATCTCAGAATGTGCTGGAAAGATCTGCTTCCAGGACTGTCCTCTCACTACAAGGAGTGCCGACTGACAGCGTCCCAGAGAAATCGGCCTCATCCAAAGCAATATACAAGCGTCCACCCACCAGGTTCCTACCTGGAGGACCGTTAGGCTCCACCACATGGTCCAGACTCCCTCCGAGGGCTGGGAGAGACCAGCATGGCCACACTCAGGCTCTGAAGGACGGTGAGGCCCAGGAAGGGTCTGGGCCCGAAGGCAGCAAGCAGCTGACCCACAGAGAGCGCAGGAGCCGCCCGGACTCTTGCTGTGGACACGGCCCCTTTCGCATGTTGGTAAACTCTTTTGCCCAATCCCAACATGAAAGTGCACACACATTTACAAAATGATGGATCCTTCCCTGGAGGCCCAGCGGATTGATTCTGAGTAATGGGGAAATGTTATTAAATAAGCCCTAGCTTCATTTCTAGCCAAGAGGCTATGAGGGTCAGGAGAAATCCACCAGCAGTTGGGTGTGCTTCTCAGGTCCCCTAGACCACGGTTTTGTTATTCTTGGGGAGCCGGGGGAGACTTCACCCTAACTGGGACCTGGGACCTCGATGCGGCCTGGTGTTGGGGGCCTCTGTAGTGTCATCCTCGGTAGCAAAATCATCCAGGAGTCTCAAAAACAGGAGGTCTCTAGACACGCAAAACAGGAGAGCAGGGACCCCGGGACAAGCCTGCATCGTAATTCTTGGCCTGAGACTACACAAAATCGTATCAATAGCTCTGATGAATCTCAATCTCTCTCACAACCAACCGCAGCTTTCCCTAAGGGTCATGTGCTTGGGCTCCAGGGCCCATCCCGAGGCCCATGGCCTGGTCGGTCCACGTCCATCCATCCTCACCCAGGGGCACCCCCTCCCCGCCCCACTTGGGGACCCGGGTGGAGGGGGCACTGCCCGCCTTGCAGTGTCTGCCGCCTCGGGGCCCCCAGAGCCGTGGAAGGGGCTTCAGCACACACTGGGGGCCATGCCTTCCACTCCAGCGACAAGGGAGGCATCAGCAGGAAAATCGGAGACCCTATCTGATAGCTTTAGCAGGCACGTCAGCTGAGGCCAGCAAACTGCACGCCAGGCGAGCGGGGAGAACTGGAGAAGAGAGCCTCTCGCTCAGGTCAGAGAAGCCCTGGGTCTGTTGCTTTCAAATTGAGGTGAAATGTACATGACACGGGATGAGGGCTACAGACTGTGAAATTCAGGAGCCCTGCGGCTCATTCCAGCGATTCCAAAACATTCTCAGCACCCACAGGAAAACTTCTGTGTTCCTCAGAGCAGCTGGTACCCACAGCCTGCCCTCTGCCCTGCGACCTGCAGGCCTCGGGGCTGCTGGCACGCACAGCCTGCCCTCTGCCCTGCGACCTGCGGGCCTCGGGGCTGCTGGCACCCACAGCCTGCCCTCTGCCCTGCGACCTGCGGGCCTCGGGGCTGCTGGCACCCACAGCCTGCCCTAGGCTCACCTGCAGGCCTGTGCCCAGCCTTTCCCATCCCACCCCCCATCCAACCCGCTGTCGGTGGCATGTGAACACCACACACACTCCTGAGTGAAACACTTCCTCTGCCCGTCCACCTTCTACCAGAGAGCCGCTTCCCGCCACGGGCTGCTGTGCCCCTGGCACAGGTGTTTGCTCCCCTCCCTGCTGTCAGGGAGACGATCACACAGTGGACAGGGGAGGACGGGGATGGTCACACAGTGGTGGACAGGGGAGGACGGGGATGATCACACAGTGGACAGGGGAGGACGGGGATGATCACACAGTGGACAGGGAGGACGGGGATGATCACACAGTGGACAGGGGAGGACGGGGATGATCACACAGTGGACAGGGGAGGACGGGGATGGAGAGGGTTGCAGGGGTGGATGAGGGTGGACAGGGTGAACAGGAGTGTGCGTCTCTCTCTCGGATACAAGGCCTGATTCTTTCCCTCACTGGGCTCTGCTCCAAACCTTGAGGTTTAATTCCCGGGCACCACCCTGCCTCTGTCTCCACTCACCTCCACGCTCACCGCCCCGGCCTCCCTCTCCCGGCCTCCCTCCACACTCACCGCCCCGGCCTCCCTCCCCCGGCCTCCCTCCACACTCACCGCCCCGGCCTCCCTCCCCC